AATTTTTTGGGGGGGTTTTTGGTTTAATTGTAAATTTTGTTGGAAAGGCCCCCGGTGTTGGTAAGGGGGGGGGGTAGGTTCTTGAAACGGGCGGGGGTTAAGTTCCCCAAATCGGCCCTTGTTCATTTTTTGGGGTTCTCCCCCCGCAGAAAAAAAATTTCAAGGGCAGGGGGTTTAGAGGTTTAATTTGAAAAATTGGGGGGGGGGAAAAAGGAAGGGGGTTGGGAAAGTTTTTTTCGCCCCCGGGCGGATTGGTGGGCTTCCCGTTTTGTTTTGGGGGGGGGTTCCCAGAAAAGAAATTTTTTTTGAGGGCCTTTAAGTGTGGTTCAAAAATTCCCCCTCTTTCCAAGGTGGAAAGGGGGGGGGGTTTTTTTATTTTTTAAAGGGGAAAAAAAATGGTTTTTGTGCTTGGCCCGCGGGGGGGGGGGCCCCCCAATGCCCCGGGGGGGGGGGCTTCCTTTGTAAAAAAAAGTTAAGCCCTTTCCCCCCCCCCCCCCCCCCCCCTCCGCACCGACCAAGGTAAAATGTGAACGCGGCTCCGAGTGCGAACACCGGGTTCATGAAGTTACGGAATGTCTATTGTACAAGGAGGAGATTTTACGTGACCTAGCCTTGGGAACAGTATAAGGAAGATACAGGGAGATGTTTGAGGCATACCAGCTAGGTAGCTGTACTGGGGCATAGAACGTGGGCTGAAGAGGCGGGACGTGACTTCGATAGGATAGATGGCTAGGGAAAACATTTTTTGAGACACCTTTTTTTGGTAAAGTAGGAGGGAACGATTGGCCATCGGTCTTTGGTCCTGTGGGAACAATACTCCGTCCTCCGTCCTCTCGAGGACGCGTGGTCAATGGTCTAACCACTAAGATATGAATGCAAAACATAAGAGTACGCCCCGCCCCCCCCCCAGTCCGCACCAGTACAATTATTTGAAACGGAGATCCCCCTCCTCGTCGCTGATCTGAAACTGCCGGTGGGTGGGGTCACCGGACACCCCGTGAGTCACCCCTCACCACCTTCATGAGTTCTTATCTTGCAGCTGCCACTTTTTTGGGGGTCTGTTCTTATTCGAAGGCGCTTTGTTAAACGACAAACACGGGTTCTTGTTAATACCACTGTCGGAACTGAGCACGTGTTCTTATGACAAAGCTCTTGAATTTTGGTTTTTTCGAGGCTGCACTTCTTAACTGCTAAGTTCTTAAGTGCGAGCGCCATCTGTTTGAATGCATACTGCTGTGTATCAATGGTAGTACTGCTGGACATGTATCCAGATAAAATGCCGTGTTCGGAACCCGGTCAACGTCGAGGAGGTCACTCGGGGCCTGGAAGCTATTATTTAACCGTATTTTCCGTAGATTGCTGGAGGCAGCGCTCCAAAGTCGCCCGGCCTGTAGCACCATCAGCCTGCTGTAAGCTAGCTCCCCGCCTTGCACTGCAGTTACTGCTGTATCATGATAGTCTAGTACATTGAGGTGGATGGTTGATACATATTTTTTGAGCATCGCACCTGCGTAGTTCCTTTGCGACGAATATGCGGCGTCGGTGGTGGAGGAGGCTTCGCACTCTTGGCGACGTTGGAAGACATTGTTTGCGACTCACTACCAACTGACCTTGCCGTGCTTGCGAGTGGAAGAGAAGCTGGGAGAAGCCTGCCGAGGGCCTGCAACCAAGGCCTCCGTCAACGGGGGGGGGATATTTGCGCGAGCTGCGTGCCCCCTCGAAACACGGCTTGCTCATGCCCCCCTGCACCAGCAGCTGCAGCTGGCTGCAATGCGTTGTCTTTCTCTGTGTCTCTGTGACTCTCTCCGTCGCTTGGCGCCCTTTCTGTCTACCCCTTGTTCATCCCCTGCGAGCCAAACTACGGTCATTGGGGCTTGAGGGTCTACAAACGTGAAAGCATCGACGAAACATACGACCAGAGTGGCCGGCTGCACTCAGCACTCTACGAGGCCTAGCCAGAGGGGGCTCTCGCCATGCCGCACGACTACTCAGCTGATGTGTGTGGGATCGTCCTATACACCCTCTTCTTTGGACTTGTATGCATCCGGACTCGCCCTTTCCTGACGGATCGGCGTTCTTTATCGTCGACAGACCGCATCAAGCTGGCGTTCCACGTGTGCATCAACACCTCGGCTCTGCTCGAAATCGGTGAGCAAGTACTGCTGTAGTCTTGCCTGTTGTTGGGAGAGCATCCTTGAGAGTATCCATACAGCACAGCAGTATGTATATGCGGCGGGCCTGACGATTCCTCCAACTCTTTCCACTCTCAGTACAATACAATGCGAAATAAACTCCTTTCACTTTTGTACACGAACGAAAACAACAGAGATTGGCAAACAATCAACAATCAACAATCGAATATCGCATGTGCGCCCCCCCCCTCCCCCCCCCCCCTCCCCCGGCCGCTGTATCAGTGCACTACGCAATCGAGCTTGCCTTTCGGGGCTCGGTGCTGTCCGGCTACGCTTGCCACCTGGTTGGGCTGTGGCTGAGTCTGGTATCGTTCAGCCTTGTTATCGTCCTCTGGAGCAACACGCTTCACCCGCCGGCTGCTGCCAGACAACAGCAGTGAGTGGGAATTGTTCGTTGGAGAGGCCCAGAAACATGTTATGTCCTGTGTTGGGATCGGTGTAAGCGTCGTATGCGTTTGCATGCAGTAGATACAAGTAGGCGTGTACCCCCGGCCGCGGTGACGGGGGAGGGAACATGGTGGATAGGTGGAAGGGGAGAGGAGATCCACTTGTGTAGCGTGTCGTGTACACGATTAGTGTGTTTTTGTGCACGGGGACAAATGGTAACCTCGTCCAGCTAGTGTCATGTATGCGAAGGGTCATGAAGCAAGCTGGCAGGGCGTAACCAACTTCCCCAAGAAAAAATAGGAGTAAGACGATAAGAAGACGGCTCTCTTGGACAGACAACTCAAATTTTAAGTTTCTGCGTCACGCTAGCTTCCGCACTTCGAGGTCGCAGTCCTGTTGGGTTACTTGTGTGTGGTCCGTTGGTTCCTGCAAGTAGTTAGAAGGTCACCGCTGCACCGTTTGCCTTGTGGCAGCTTCTCATCGTCGCCAAGAAACCCGAGAGTCTTTGCTCTTGTAGAGTACGCTGTGTTATGATGGTGATCCATGCAGTAGCCTTCCCAGAGTTTATCGATTAAGTAAACGTGTTGGATACAGCATACAACCGGGGAGGTAGTCGGAGGTAGTCGGTCCGATCCATGTGGGTATGCCCGGTGTTCAGCACCCACCCGGGCGCAGAACCAGAAGCATTTATATATACAACCACTGCATTTTTTCAAAACTTGTGTGCACATGTGTGCATGCAAGGGTGCCCTCCGGAGTGGGCTCGTGAAAGCGCAGTCAGCGGTCGTCAAGGGGTGATTCAACCTTTTAAGCTGACTGCCAGCTGTGACCGTGTCCAACCTCGAACACCCCACACAGCTCGCGCTTAGACTCGAAGAGCCCAGCGAATGGCACCGAATCAACACCTTTTTGTTCTCTTGAGTATACAGCAAGTCTTAACGAGCATTTTTGCTCAGTATTTGTTTCAATGTTTGGGTGCTGTGCTTTGCTTTCTTTCTACAGGAGAAACGCTCAGGGGGGCACCGCGGCGAACGGCGGCGGCAGCGATGATGAGCCGGCCGGATGGAGGTGCTGCGGAAAGACGAGGTGAGGGAGGGTTGAGAGCACCCGCTCCCATCGTTCATGGCACCTGTATACTCGTGGCGCCACCAAACCGCTTTTTGTCCGAGGCTCGTTTCTTGTTCCTCTGCTGCTGTCGCAGGAGGAAACGTGGAGCAATTAACAATAATAATAATGAAAGCACGTGTGTGACCTTCCTCCTGTGTGTCCCCGGTTAACACGTCAAACACACACGCCGAGAGGTGTTTAGGCTGGCACCAGAATAATGGGACGAGCACACACACACACACACACACAGTCGGGTAAACCCATCAGCAACTGCTGTGCATACGTTTCAGACAGTGTAGGGTTCGTAGCTGAGCACGCTTAGCTCGTAAATTTCCGGTTCTTAGTTCCCTGGTCCCCTGTGTGGGTACGGGTACGCGTTCTATACGTTACGACCAAGCCCCCGGTTGTCCGTCCCATCGTTCCACTGCTGTCGCTCATGATGTCTGTGTGCCCTCTCCCCCCTCGGTCCCGTTTGCTCTCTTTTTTCTCTTGTGTGAAGGATATCGATTGCCGCCAAGTTCGTGTGCGCGATCGATGCCATCGTGGCCCTCGCGACGGTGGTGGTGCTTTGGACCGGAAGCGTTCCCGCGTACTCCCGCCCCTACCTTATCCTGATGGTCACCCACAGGTGAGATGTCGCAGGTGCATGGCTATCGGGCCGGCATGCACACGTGGGTCAGGAGCATGAGTTCGTTCCCGGAACCATGGTGTCTCGACCGCGTGATGATAAAGATCTGATTTTGATGCCTGGCCTTCCCATGGACATAACAAGATGTCTCGACCGCGCATATGACAACGATCTGCTTTTGATGCCCAGCCTTCTCCCGTTGCCACTGCTGTTCGTGAACGCTTGCTCGTTGTTTCCCTCCCTCGCCCAGCGTGACGCTTTTCCTCTTGGCCTCGTGGCTTGTGCTGTACGGCATCCGCCTGCAAAGACGCGTCATGGGCCACCCGAGGTGAGCCGGTCGGTGTAGTGTAGTGTATGTAGGTAGGTCTGTACTATCTACGCTTCACGGAAAAAATTGTCTCCTCAAGCGGTATACGTACGTACCTGGTACCACAACTTTTTCGAAGCTGTACGCAAGGATAAGTCGGGAGATAGAAACATCGCCGGGCAAAGAAGGTGGAGCTTGGCGGAGGGTTCGGTTTCAAGTCCATCGGTGGCGGCAGCGTTCTCGCTACATGCCTACATAGCGCTGTGCCGCGTCCGCTAGAGGCGCGCGCTGCAGCGGCCGGCAGCGCACTCAAGATCAACGGGAACGTGACTTACTGGAGACGTTTTACTTTTTTTTCGCGGATTTTTTTCGTGTGTATCCGACGCAGGTGGGAGCCGCTCGATCGTCGGCAACGGCTGAAGATCCTGTGCCGCATCAACGGAGTCCTTGTGGTTTGCGCGGCTTGTTTCCTCGTGCGCGTGGCCGTGCTGTCGTCGGCCCTGTTCGTGCGCTCCCGGCACAGGTATGTGGTTATCTGCCCCGGGAACGTTAACGTTCACAATCTTTGTGATTACTTTGCAGCACGGGCCCGGAGATAAGAAAAGTCAAAATCGTTTTCAGCTTCGTGTTTTGTCGCCACTATGATTCTGCTGTCGAGTACAGGTTGCTATATAGAGTTCAGTGTAAGGATCCACCGCTGAGGTACATGTGTTTCTTAGACCGTTTTTCTTGGTTTTCGTGAAAATGCGAGCCGATGATTCTTGACAACATCTTTCTCTAACTGCGGGCCCGTACTGGATGTAGTGCATGACAAGGGTCGATTGTCAACCCACGTACTTGTACACTTCTTTGTGTTGTTTTCTGTGCTCGCGCGAGAACGGAGAGAGAACCGCAGGGCTGGATTGATTCCATCATCTGTGTCCAACCAAGCATCGTCGAGAAGTGACGCGGCGGATCACAAAGTGTCCTTTACATGAGAGGCAATTGTTCGTTATTTCTTGTATCGAGCGTCATAACTATCGCGGACTCACTCTCATAGAACGGGAGGGAGGGTTCAGTTGTACTGTTGCGCCAGGTCGCGTAACGACCGCTGTAGCGGAGTGCTCGGTTCCACAAACGCGGCGCAACAACAGACAGAAGTAGATTGGCAGCAAGGAGGGATGCATGGAGAGGGTAAGGGAGGTACCGCAAGTATGCGAGCGATGAGACACACCCCTAGACCGACTTTGAACGCTCCATGCTCCTCAGCCAAGAGGGCATTGGTTTCCGAAAGACGGCGGGTTTGGCAAGACTTTGCCTGTAAGTAGCACAGAGCTTTCCTTTCGACAGCCCGAGGGATTCACAGCCTCGTGGTTGTTGAGCAATGAATGGAGCTTCGAAACTCGATCTAGGGGGCGTGTGCCATCGCGAGCCTCGCAAGACTTGAGGTGGAAGGGAAGGGGGGAGCCATAACCAGAAAACGAGGTACGCAAGACAAGGCAGAGGCAGGCAAGATAAGACAGAGGGAGTTTCTGGATATGTACGGCAGGAGAACAAAGCGGGGTTTCAACGAATCGTTCAGGGCGTGTGCCCTTGTAGAAAGACATGAAAAATTTGTTGGATGCTGGAGAGTGCCTTCTTTTGCGGGCTGATGGTGCGGGTATTTTTCTTCTCGTTCCGCCTGTTCTGAGCGTTCTGTGGCCTCGTCCCTTTCGAACTCGAACAAAACCATCCAAATCAGGGCGGAGGACATGAACAGGCTGCTGTTTGAAGTGTTGGCGAGGTGGGTGTCCGGGCTGATCCCCGGGGTGGCCCTCCTCCACATCATGTGCAAAACCAAGAAGCCCGGGGAAGATCGGCCGCCGCCGGATCAGATGAGGTACTGCACGGTCCTTGCTTGCACGTTCTCCTGCCATGTTGGCCGTTGTTTGCAACGGGCCGTCCGTCTGTGTACCTCGTGGAGTAGGGATGGTTTTGGGTCCTTGGTCTATTTGATTGGCTACAGTATGGCGCATCCGTTTGTTTGGCTTGAGCTCGTTCTAAAGGGATGACGCCGCAGTATGTGTATGTTTCTCGTTCGAGGGAACAAGACAGATGTCGCGCTCCCAAACGGCGGTTTTTAGTTGCAGCTCGATCCAGCTTCGTTTTGTTGTTGTTTTCTCTCTTGTGACGGAAATTCGGACACTTCTCATCATCTGTGGGTAAAAAGAGACGAAAGTAGCTGTTTTCTTGTTTTTTGCAACAAGAATAACGTTTACCTTAAACCAAACCAAACTTTACACTTAACCAAAGAAACGCGTGGGTCTGCTCGCCCCTGCACCAGGCTTAGCGTGGTCAACGAGGACCAACCGTTGAACGAGCCGCTTCTCCCGACACACCACGGGGGGGGAGGCTACGTCAGCATGGCCAAGAAGAAGCCTAACGGCAGCGCCGGCCGAGGGACGTCGTCGAACAGCCGTAGCGGGGAACGGGTAGGGAGAAGGGGCGGAGCGGGAGGGGCGGACGGGGGGCAGGCGGCTGGGAATGAAGAAGGGAACGACAGCTTTGCGTACCAGATTGTGAGGTCTCAGAGGGAGAGGACAGAAACGACCATCTGAAGCACGCTCGGGGCGTTTGCTTCGTCTCCGCTGTGTATACTGTCATGTCGGGATATCATCGGTTACTGGCATGTGCCTAGACGTTGGGTGATGGGTAGTGCGAAAGCGTAGCGTGGTTTTCGAGGAGGAGGGGCGGGGGGGAACCGGGAGAGCGGGGGATGATGTGCCTGTGTAGGTAGGTTGTGGACGGGCGTTATGTTCCTTGTTCACGTAGGTTGCTGTGTGTGCTTCACTGGTGATGCTCATCCGCTCAGGATGCGGATACGCCCATAGTGTTGGCTCTCGGTGTTGAAAGCTGTGGAGCCGCGGCCGGCCGTTGTTGGTTGCGAGTCTGTCTTCTACCAAGCAAATTTAGTCGTAGGCGCTGCCTTGACCAGTGTATATTTATGAGGGTCAGCCTAAGTCACACGCCCATTTTGCTGACACGCACAGCGTTGGTAATAGGGTGCACAAGACTCATGTAATATACTTGGGAGTGTGCATGGAGTAGCCGGAATCCGTGACAAGAGTGGCGATTGCACTTTTTTTTTTTTCTGAATATAACCCAACGAATCCATCTCGATCTAAGAAAACTTTTACACGAACGCGCCCCGCCCGCACTCTGTCGAACGGGTCTTCCGACTGCTGTGCGCGCGCAGACTCTCAACGAGGCCAGTGAGGCATATACCGTTGTGCTTGCTGGCGGGACACTTTTGGCTATATTGTGTTTTGTTTCCAAGGCGTTGTGCAACGAACAGACAAGGTACACCGTCCGTCCAGGGGTGAAAGGAAAGCATCATGTTTCTGCATATCAGTTCATGTGCTGGGCTTGCTGCTGCTACGCATACTTTTCGACTGTTCGCGGGCTGGCTGGAGATAGGGGTAGACTACTGCTGGCGTAGTACGCGGTGCCGTACGCAGTGCTGTTGCCTCGTGTAGGCTTTTTGGATTGGCGGTTTTTTCCTGGGTGTGGCTGCCAGGAGCGTGAACACAGGTAGTGGAGGAGGCCGTGGAGGCGGAACAACTTTTATCGGAGAGCAAACGTCACCGTCATACATACATTCGCCCCGGTGGTCTAGTTGGTATCCTCGTAAGCTAGCGTTTCTTGCGAATTGAGTTTTTCTCTCGCTTCCGCTCCTGGCCTAGTGGACAGCGCTACATGGTTCGTGTGTACATAGAGGGAAGAGTGCTGAACTCTTCTAGCATCAAAAATCGAAGGCAAAGGATCTCAGGAGGGGAGGGTAGAGAGGGGATCTTCTGTGTGACCACGGGTTGGAGTAAACGGCTAAATGGTTTATCAATTTCGGACTAAAAGTCTAATTCACCTTCATCATGTGTACGTCAATAACCATACACAAACAAACACGAAAAAAAGCACAAATGAGTCCTTCGCTAGTCTTCATTGTCGTTGACCGTGTCATGATGGGCACAACAAAGTCCCCGGCAGACAGTGTGGTGCAGACGAACTCCCACTCATTGTAGCATATTAGACAAGACTTGAAAAATTTCCTCTTGTTCTTACTACCGAACAAGCCTCATCTCAATATCTATCTATGGATGTTGCATATAAGAGTTCAGATGTTTTTTTGTTTTTTCTTGTCTTCACTTCAAATCGGCGCTCACAGCACTATTTAGTCTAGCATACAACTTTAGCGCACACTCAACTGGATGCCACACATGCGCAAGAAAAGAATGTGAGCACACACACACGCACACGGCTCGACTTTTTTATTTCCAATCTCTTCCGTCCACAGCGCACGCACAGCAGTGTGGTGGTACATGTTTTCGTGGATGTGCGCAGGAGGAGGAGTCCGCTGTTGAGCAAAATGAACGGTGGATGCAGTCCTTCATGGTTCCTCACAGCAGTGGTTGTCGTTCGGGTCTTCTCTGCTAAAGTATATATATTGTGTGCGTTTGGACCAGTGGACCTTCCGGCGACGCGAACACCTTCTTTCTTTCCTTACAGTGGTATTTTTCCTGAGGCCGAATTTCGTTGTCCCTCCATAAATTTTGACTGAAGTGGAGAACAAAAAAAAAAAAAAAATGTTATTAACGCCCGCGAAGAGGCGCAAAAGAGTAGCGAGTCGGAAAAAAAAAAAAAAAAGGGAAAATTATGCCTTTCGCCGGGGCTCGAACGTTAGTCCTGGGTCATTTTTGCACCATTTTTTTTTTTTTTGCGTCGATTTTTTTTTTTTCTTTTTCTTTTTTTTGGTTGCAAACATGCGTCACGTCGAGTAAAACACCCCCAAACACCGCACAAACGCAGGTACCCTTCACCTACTGTACTGTATCACCCTACAGCAACTTTTGGCAACGAGCAACCGCACAAAATACGTGTATTCACACAAAAAAAAAAAAAACAGGTAAAAAAGCTGAGAAAATGTGGCGAAAACAGGGGGAAAAAAGTCAGTGCTGGACAGCACAAGGAATACAAACGCATGCCTCTCTACTTCCTCCACGTGTTCGGCGTCGGGCGCCTGTGGGACTTGAATTTCTTGTAGATCTCCTTGCCCGTGGGTCCAAGTGCACGTGCCTTCAGGTACACGAGGGCATGCGTGTAAGCCTTCTTGCAGTAAGCCTGGACTACCGCAATGGCCTGTCTATCCTTCTCCGGTCTAAAGCTCAACGGCACGTTTTTGCGCAAGCATTCCATCGAATATGTGCAGTTCTGGCGCGTCCAGTCCTTCGCACGGCCCCAAACGAGCTCGATGGGGTTGCACTCGCAGTGGTACTTGGGGAGCATCACGCAGACTCCCCCGTGCCGCCGCATCAACAGCACCAGACTAGAGTCAACTTCCTTGAAGTCTCGCTGCTCTCCCAGAACATGCTCCATGCTCATGCTGAGGTCCTTCTTCTCGCCCGTCCCCCCCAACTTCGACATGCCCTTCTTCAGCAACCCCCTCTCGAACAAGATCTGCCGCACTTTTTACGGTTCCAATGCTTCGTCTGCCCACTCGTGCGGCAGCTGCTAGCGCATCGGTGCGGTTGACCCCGTCTTGCTGGAGAAGGTACAGATGGAGCAACGTCATGGCCTGTTGAACCACGTGGGCCAGCTGGTAGTTGGACAGGGCAGCCCCCGGTGCGCTCGCCTCGTCCTGTGGAGAATGCCGGAGGGAGAGAGCGAGGGTGTGGGGACGGGGGGGTTAAACAACTGTTGTCGATGAAATGAACGTTACAGTATTGCTTTCGGATGTGCACTGCACAGCAGAGGCGCCCATGGTGCTGGGCGGACGCAGCAGCAACTTAACAGCAGTGTTTTACAGCAGTATACTTATTCGAGTGGTGACACTGTACACAGCAGTACAGTGGTTAAAGGAGAAAGTAGTTTGCGGCAGTACATTACTGCTGTACAGCAGTTCTTTACACACTCAAAAAAAACACTCACATCTTCCAGTGCCGCTGCCGCACTGATGGCCTTCTGCGCATCCCTCAACACGGTATCAAAATACTCGATGCTGTCCGCGCGAAATTCATCCGCCGCCGCCTCAACCGCCCGTGCTCTGAGATCTGCCTCGCGAGCACGCTTGATCTTTTTTCTAGCCTGCGATGTGTTGTACGTGCCCTTGTTCATGTACCTCTTCATCGCCTCATCGGCCATCTCAGGCTCAGTTGCCTTCCACGCCCGCAACAATTCTGCCAGCGTCCCAGCTTGAAGTTCGAGTGCGCCTGGAAAGGCTTTGACGAGCTCCTCGCGCAGCATGGTAGCTCTTTCTCGCCGGGCCCTCTTTCCTAGGCTTCCTTTCTTCCTCCCGGCGCCCTCTCTGGCGCCGCCGCACCCTTCTCGCAACCTTTCGGCGCCTCCAACACCAGGTTCTTGAAGAGAACCAGGTGCGGGAGCTGCAAGTCTGACACCCGTTGTAACCCGGGAGGGTGGTTGCTGGATCGCTTCATGCTGGATGGTCTTTGCTGCAAGGTCTAACCATGTTTGCGCTGTGATGGTTCTGCATGCTTGAGACTCGGCGGCTCTGTCTCTGCCACGTGCACTCTTCGTGGTGAACGTCCGGCTGTGCCACTGAAGTAACGGCTGGCCGGCCTGGCTGCTGTGTCTTGCTTTCAGACCAATGCGGTACTTTCGTGGAGCCCCTCTGTGCACCTCGAGTTCTCCGAGCTCGTACTCAGCAGGCAGAGTTCCCTTCACATGCAGCAGCGCATCTGTATCGGGGTCCATGGTCCCGCCCAAGATCTGTGGCAAAAGCGTACCCTGCACGCCCTGAGAAATTTGAAATTTTCCTCTGCTATGCAGACGCTCGGAGGTTCCAACCAAACGTTTTTAGAACCCATTTTTTGCGGGGATTCCAAAAATGGAACTTTTTTTTGCGGCAAAAAAAGTCTTCGTCGTCGATTGCGCGTTTTTCCTATTTCTCGCCGATTCTATGAAAACGGCCAACCCAGCGTAGCTCGTGCCCATCTAATTTGCCGCAGCCAAAAGTGTGTTCATTCGAAAGCTCTCGTTCATAGCTTTCACATGATATATAGTTTGCTGTGTGAATCGTCTGCATAGTGGAGATATTAATCATTTGTGCCTGGGCTGGGGGCCGGAAAAATACCACTGTACGAGGTCAAAGCACAGCAGGGCAACTACCGCGTACTTGCCCAAATATTAGCGAGTGCCATGTACCAGTACACAACAAGGTCCCAAGGTTCCCCTGAAGCAGCAGCAGGATATAATCTACCATATAATAGTCTAAACGCCAAGAGCCAGAGAAACCGAGGAGGGCGTGTGTCTGATCTTCGCTGTATTCGTTCGCGTTTTCCATTTGATGCTCTGGATACAGCACAGCAGACTGCCCAACAGCAGTTCATGGTTTCCTAAAGAATCAAGAACTACGGCTGCTGCGGTGGCACAATCTGCGGTGGCACAATAACCGCTCATGATGATTTGTACTTGTACCCCCTACCGTCATGTAGGCATCCCGCGAACGAACATGATTGGTTGATTCGGACGGAATATGTCAACACCGCGCGCGGCGTGTGCGCAATACGTACAGAGATACATCGGATCTGCGCCCGGGGAAGAGAGG